ATCTTCCCTTAAGTTGAGGTAACCCTTTACTGAAGCACACTAGGACAGAGTAGAAACCCGAATAAAATGGGGCTTCAGCCATAACGAAAGTATGGCGGATAGAAACTATGTACACAACCAAGGCCAAAGAAGCAGGTTGGATTTAGCAACAAGTAGATAAATGGTGCCCAGGGAAAGGGTTGTTTCTGGTGTGATGCCAGTGACAGATTGTAGAAGGCGAGGGAAGGAATGGGAGGTGAAGCAACACACTGAGTGCAGATAGTTCATTCAAGAAGTTTTGGTATGAAGAGGAGAGAGGGGAGTGGCACTGATTGATTGTTTTCTAGGTTTTTTTTTTTTTTTTTTAATTTTTTATTAATTGCCATAGGGTCTGAGAGTTCACCAGAGAGAGGAATAGGGAAAAAGCAACTTCCAGTGGGGCATGGTCATGCCTCAATCTCTTCTCCAGCATTCCTCCATCCTATTAGGATTTGGGACACAAGTGCACATGAGCTTGGTGTTTTTCAAGCCATCAGGACTTAGATTCCAATCATAGTCAACCATGTGGAATCTCTCTTCTTTAACCACCAGACTACTTGGGGGTTCAAGGCATTTCTTTCCTTCTTCTCCCCCCCCCCTTCAATTTTTGTTACTGAGCACGTGTGCTCACGAGAGAGAGAAAGAAGATAAGAAATCACCCCATGGGGAATGGCCACGCCACAATTCCTTCTCCAGTCTCCTCTTGGAATTTTGGGCATGCATGCACATGTACCCCCACGTGATTTTCAAGTTGCGGGGTCTGGGACTCCAGCTGCAGAGTCAGCTATATGAGATCCAGTGCCTTAACTGCCATGCCACCTCCTGGCCCCATCATGGCATTTCCTTTAATAATGAGAGAGACTTGAGCATTTTTAAAATCTAATGAACAAGATCTGATTTATAGGAAGATCTTGAAAATACAAGAGGAAGAAGGAATAATCAATCTTGGCAGTTTCTAGGAAGGTAGGATTTGAAGCCATCCAAAGCACAGGTGAAGGGATTTTCCTAGTCTAGAAGAGGGACTGATAAGAGAGAGGGAGGATGAGTTGAGATACAGTCCCATCTTAGCTGTGGAAATGGATATTGCCTTTTACTCCTGAGTAATTCGTGCCTTAGATAATCCTCAGCTTTCACTCCATCCCCAAACCCAAGTGCAATTATAGGCCACTTTCACGTTTGAATTTTTTTTTTTTTAATTGTCAAGGGATACATTAGCTTCCTAAAGAAAGAGAAAGCACCCCGCAATGAGACATGGTCATTTCACAGTTCCTTCACCTCCTGTCCTCCATCCTGTCAGGATTTTGGCCTCAAAAACATGCATATATGCCTGGGCATGTTTTTTCGAGTCGCTGGGGCCAGGATCGAACTGCAGTCGACCATGTGTGATCCAGCTTCCCCTAACCATCTGGTCCATGGGGCCTGCCCCTAAAGTTTTATGACCAGGTTATACTGTCGTTCAAAAATATCTAGCAATAATTATGTTTTAAACTAAAACAAGCTCAATACCTAGACCTAAACATAATTCAGTATGATCTTTACTTGGTTTCAAGCTAAGGTCATCATAAACAAGATTTTTGGGTTTTTGTGGTTTTTTTGTGTTTTTTTTTTTTTTTTTTTCAGTAGGGCACATGTACTTGCTGGGGGAGAGGAGGAAAGTGAGAAATCAACACAAACATACACACCCACACACTCCAAAGTGGATGGCAACGCTACAATACCTTCTCCTCCATTCTTAGGATTTTGGGTATGCGTACACACAAGAGACTTGAACTGCGGAATCAGCCATGTGTGATTCAGAAGCTTAACCACACCACCACCTGCTGGCCCCCCAAATTCTGTTTTTTTGTTTGTTTTTCTAAAGAATTATTTATTGAAGCCAGCAGGTGGCATAGCACTTATGTTGCTAGACGCCCACATGGCTGACTGTGTTTTGAGTACTGGAACTGGTGGCTTGAAATCCATGCCAGGCATGTGCGTATGCATACCCAGATCCCTAGAAGAAAAGGGATTGTGATTGTGGTGTGGCCAACCCCCAGAGGATGATTTCTCACTTTCCTTCTCACTGTCTCTGTCTCTTTCTCTCCAGTGAGTGCACATACTCAAAGACAAAAACATTTCTTTTTTTTTTTTGGCGAGGTTTCTGTTATAGGGCATATACACACGCCAGACAGAAGACAAAAAATCTGGGGGATGGGAATAGCCATGCTGAAATCCCTTCTCCTCCATTCTCCTCTTGGGATCTTGGGCACGCACACACACGCACCTGGCATGAGTTTAACCCACCAGGTCGAAGACCCGCGATTGACTACATGGGAGTCCAGTGACAGCCATTACACCAACTGCTGGTCCCCAGAAACGTCTTTAAAAAAAATTATTTAATTGTATTATTATGATTTTTTTTTTTAATTGGCTATAGGCCATGTTTACTCACCAAAGAGAAAGGAAGAGAAAGCAAGCTACCAGGTCAGCCATATGGGAGTCTAGCGCCCCAACCTCTGGCACCACCCTCTGGCCCCATATTCTGTTGTTTTGTTTTTTGTTTCTTGTTTTGAGAGAACTTTGCTATAGGGTATGTGTGTTCACTAGAGAGAGAGAAAGTGAGAAATCACCCCCCTAGGGGGGATGCCTGTAGTTTAATCCTTTCCCCTCCATTCCCCTCTTAGGATTTTGGCCATGCACACACATGTGCCCAGTGTGAATTTCAAGCTGCCAAGTCAAGGACTTAAACTGCAGTTGGCCATGTGGGAGTCTAATACCTTAACCACTATGCTACCTGCTGGCCCCCAGATTCTGGGAGTATTTTGAGAGATTTTTGCTATAGGATACTTGTGCTTGCTGGAGAGACAGAGAGAAAGCAAGAAATCACCCCCTAGGGGAGGATGGCCACACTGCAATCCCTACTCCATTCTCCTCTTAGGATCTTGGGCACGGTCACATGTGCTCCCCGTGTGAGTTGTTTGTTTTTTGAGAGATTTTTGGTATAGGGCGCGTGTGCTTGCCAGACAGACTGTGACAGAGAGACAGAAAGGGAAAAATCACCCCCCAGGGGGCATGGCCACGCCGCAATCCCTTCTCCTCCGTGCTCCTCTCGGATCTTGGGCACACACGCACACGTGCCCTGCGTGAGTTTTAAGCCACCGGGTCCAGGATGCGAACCATGATCAACTACATGGGAGTCCAGCGGCATAGCCATTACACTAACTGCTGATCCCTCCCCGTGTGAGTTTTAAGCTGCAAGGTCTGGGACTCGAACTGCAGTTGATGATGTGGGATTTCCGCGATGTAACCATTACACCATTTGCTAGTCCCCAGAATTCTTGTTTTTTAAAGTCACATTTACACAACTGACATTGGCTTTCTTTTTATTCAATCCTGAGAGGTAAACAATCAGAAAAAGAACATTTAAGAACCCTTTTAAATAAGCGTTTTGGAGGGTTAATGACTTGCCTTCATTAGCTGTGGTCACCTAATCTCACTCCACTGTTGGAGCACCTGCAAGGAGAGGTGTCCACCTGCACGATGTCCTCTGCAGTCAGTGCTGCAAGGACTTGAGATCATTGCTTTTTGAGCTTCCCTTTTCTAGACTGGAATTGATCCCTCTCTTCTCTTTAGCCCTAAATACCCTGACTATACATAGCTTTAGGGATGTTAATTGACTTAAATTCTCTTGAAAATTGTATCCTGCTTGCTTTGATTGAGGTCTGGCTGTTCCTTCCCCCAGTGGGACTGGGCCCATTCATTTAGAGGTTATTACATTGGTTACTTCTTCAGGTAGTTTGTTTGATCTATATTTACCTCATAAGGTTCCTTTGCTGAGGATAACTACTATTCAGAGTTCATTGTCCAAAACTCTCTTCTTTGAGCAGTGCTGAGAGGTACATTGCCAATATTTATGTTACTCTTCTTACCTGTTTCCTAAACATTAGCTGCCTTGGGAACCGGCAGTTAGCGTAATGGCTATATATCGCTGGACTCCCACGTAGTCGACCGCGGTTCGCGTCCCGGACCCGGTAGCTTAAAACTCACGCCGGGTGTGTGTGCGTATGTGCCCAAGATCCCGAAAAGAAAATGGAGGAGAAGGAATTGCAGCGTGATCATTCCCCTGGGGAGTGATTTCTCGTTTTCTGTCTCTGTCTGTCTCTGTCTGGTGGGCGCACGCGCCCTATAGCAAAAATCTCTCAAAAAAAAAAAAATTTAGCTGCCTTGACTAATTGAATGGTTTAGCATAGCCAGTGAAAGAGTACATTGGTCTGGTATATTGAGTTGCTTGTTCAGGGACCATTCTTTTTGTTTAATGTGACCAAGCATGGCCCAGCTCTAATCCTTAGGTGATTTTAAGTTCAGCTCTCAAAAGGCTGTGTTGATTTCCAGGTCTCATAGGGTCTCTCACTTGTCACCCCTTTACTGACAAATTTGTGTTCAATTTTTAATGAAACACAGGCTATACCGGTCTTGACAGGAGTCATTTGCCAGTTTTGCTGATTAAAGCTTTTTGTGCCCTGTCAATTCAGGTGTATCCTTTGCATTTTGTCTTTTGTGACTTTTGCTCAGTATAGCCTGTACCTTTGATGCACATTAGACTTCACACATACTCAAGGAAAGGTTCTTTTACCTTTCTTTTTTTTTTTTTTTCTTTTTCTCTTTTGGAGAGGTTTTTGCTATAGAGCGCATGTGCTCGCCAGAAAGACAGACAGAAAGTGAGAAATCACCCCCCAGGAGGGATAGCCACGCTGCAATCCCTTCTCCTCCATTCTCCTCTTGGGATCTTGGGCACGCACGCACACACACACGCACCCAGCATGAGTTTAAGCCACCGGGTCCGAGACTCGAACCGTGGTCGACTATATGAGAGTCCAGCGACATAGCCATTACGCTAACTGCTGGTCCCTCCCTTTTTCCTTTCTTGAAGCCAGAGAATCTTGTTCCACTTGGTAACTGAAGTAGGAACTTTACCAATCATGTTTTTTGCTTGTCATTAACAGGCTGCACACTGAATGGCCAGGAGGTGAGACTCACTGTTCACTATGAAAATGGGTTCACTATCTCCAGGGAGAATGGAAGTTCCGGCAGCATATTGTATCGCTACCCCTTTGAAAAGCTGAAAATGTCTGCGGATGACGGCATTAGAAATCTGTATCTGGATTTTGGTGGTCCTGAGGGAGAACTGGTAAGAGTGTTTCTGAAAAACATGCTTCAAACTAATTGGTATTCTCTTTTTTTTTTTTTTCCTCTCCCCACTGTTTACCTCTTATATAGAAAATTATGGGTTGACAATCCATTTGGAGCCAGGACGTTGTACTTCAGTTTTCAAGATAGCATTGGGTTGGGGGGACCAGCAGGTGGCGTGGTGGTTAAGGACACTAGACTCCCGCATGACCAACCACAGTTCGAGTCTCGGACCTGGTGGCCTGCTTTCTCACTTCCCCTCTCTCTCTCTCACTCTGTCCCTCTCTGCTCAAATTAAATAAAGTAAAATAAAATAAATTTAAAAAAAGAGAAAAAAAGATAGCATTGGGTTTGAATTTTCTTGTCACTTTCTTTTTCCCACATTAGGAAAATGTTTCCTTTTAAAAACTTTGTTTGAATGATAGAATGAAAAAATAGATAACCATGTTAAAAAAAAAAAAGGTTTTTATCCAAAAGTAGATATAGAGTACCATAGCTGACAAACTTTTTTTTTTTTTTTTTTTAGAGAGGTTTTTGCTATAGGGCACGTGCGCTCGCCAGACAGAGAGAGACATTGAGACAGAAAGCGAGAAATCACCCCCCAGGGGGGATGGTCACGCCGCAGTCCCTTCTCCTCCATTCTCCTCTCGGGATCTTGGGCATGCACACACACATGCCCAGTGTGAGTTTTAAGCCACCAGGTCCGGGACATGAACCGCGGTTGACTACGTGGGAGTCCAGCGACATAGCCATTACGCTAACTGATGGTTCCCAGACTTTTTTGGTTTTTGAAAGAATTATTTTACTTAACTTTATTTAATTATTTATTTATTTAAATTTGACCAGAGAGAGCGAGAGAGAGAGAAAGTGAGAAAACAAGCTGCCAGGGCTGGTGACACAAACCGTAATCAGCCATGTGGGAGTTCAGCACCCTTAACCACCACACCATCTGCAGTTCCCTGTAGCTGGCAAACTTTAATAAATAAATTCTATCCATTGCTATTATCAGCTTTGTTGGGATGAGGATCATAAGTAATAGGGTGACAAGATTGCTACAGAAACTGCTGATCAGGAAAAAAGAAATAGATACAGCTACTCAGTATCATCCTTTCTTTGACCTGTCCTTTAAAGGAAGCGTCATCAAGAATTCATGATTCCTCTTGAAGAGACTAGAGAAGTATGTCAGGTGTATTCCAGAAACTGTAAATCATGATAAAGGATTAAAGTAGTGTCTTTTTATCTCTTAGTTCAGGTCTTACCATGCATGCATGGAATCGTATTGTCCACTGGCACAGTCACAGGAGGTGTAAATTTGGAAACCTTCAATACTGACAATTCAAAACTGAAAGAGAGCTTAGAGTTAATGTTCAGCGTCCAAGTGAGAAAACCTTGACAAGAAATCTTATTTAAATGATGAACCTTGGCCCTACCAATAGCGTAGTGCTTGGGATAGCTGAATCCCACATGGCCAGGTGGCTTGAAAAACAAATCACTCCCACAGGCACATATGCCTAAAATCTTGAGGGGTGAATGTAAGAGAAGGGATTGCAGTGTGGCCCTCTCCCTTGGGGAAGTGATTACTCACTTTCTCTCTCTCTCCTTCCCTCCAGCTAGTGCATGTACTTTATAACTTGGAAGAAAAATTAAAAAATGATGACCCCTTAGTAGACTTATGGGTAGACCATGAACCAACACTTTTCAAAAGTCTGAGACATTAGTGGGAACCAGCAGTTAGCGTAATGGCTATGTCGCTGGACTCCCACGTAGTCGACCGTGGTTCGTGTCCTGGACCCGGTGGCTTAAAAAAACTCACGCCGGGCGCGTGTGTGTGCGTGT